CCGCACCGCGTACCTGCAGCCGCCAGCGCTCGCCCGGGCTCAGGCTCGCAGGCAGTCGGGGCTGTGCGGCTGTTTGTCCTGAGACCTGCGGAAAGTTCCTCCAGTCCAGGCTGAGCTTGTACAGCTGAGGTCTGTGGCTTCCCCCAGAGCTGTGAGGTGTGGCCGTGTCTGCCAATGGGCGTGTGAGTGTCTGCGTGTGTACATAACGGTACAACTCCAAGAAAATTTATTCTGCTTTTGCAGACCGCAGTCTAAAGTCCTTCACGGTGATGCAATGAATTCGGTTTTTCATAATGCACCTATTGACTAAACGGGTAGAGCTCTAAACTGGAAAGTCACCCAACTATTCATTATTATGATAAACACTTAAAAAAAAAAAAACTTCCACAAAGGCGAATGTTTACATTTACGTATACACTCAATTTCTCTTGAAGTTCATTCTTGGCAGAGTAGACCTTGGATTACATCAAGTTTGAAGACTTGGAGAATTTTAGAGCCTGATCGAACGCCTGAAATTAAAGAAAAGCCCCCTCGTGGGACACTGTACCTGCCAACAGGGGTCCTGAGCTTCCTGACAGGATGACATGTAAAAGAGGAGGTTCGCTTAAATTGTTTTCTACTTCCCTGATGACCTAAACTAACAAAGAAAGGGAAAATCCATACGTGTTGGTCAAGAGATATAAGGAAAAAGAAGTAGGAAGAACACAACTAGCCCTGAAGTGAAATCGCTAGGATATACTGCTAAAGGATATTTACCCTTGAGGATAACATACGGAAGCACTGATAAAATCTGGATTTCCTTCTTTGTGGCATGGCGTAGGCTTTGATCGATCCGTGCGCACGGTGGTTTGGTATCAATGCACATTCATGACCTCCTACCCCTTGTCCCCCTTGGTCCTGTCCCATAGTCTTTCCACTAGCTTTGTCCATCTTTCTCTGCAAGTATTAGAAGTCTTCACCATTCTCCTTCCAACCTCTCACTCCCTCAGCAGAATCCACCTTCTTTACTGAACTTCCTCAACAGCCCTACCTCTAACTAACATCTCTACCAATGGCACTCCTGACTTGCTGGCGCCAGTTTGTGGCACAGCCTTCAATTCTGTCCCCTCCCTTCTAATCCCTGACTTTTCTCTCCATCATCTCTCTACTGAATCTCCAACTGGTCCCTCTCTGTCAGCTCCTTTCCTCAAGCCAAAAACTTAATCAGTCCTCTCTTATCCTTATTATTATTTTTTTAATTTTGTGTTTCCTCTAACTCTAACCTGAATCCATTTTGCTCCTGTCAGTCCATCTACCTGAAATTCCAACCTCTCCATCCCCTTCTGCCCACGGTCCTTTGCCTGCTCATTTTTCAATACTCAGTTCAAAGACATTCCTTTGATAAGGCATTTCCTAACTCTCTCCGCTCTCTTCCTTATTTTCCTTTTCCACCATAATGCCATAACGCATACCGATTTACTATACTTATTTGTTTATAAAATACATCGTAATTATTTCCAGCACCTGTGTCTTGGCAGAGTCAACACTGAGTAAATGTTGGAATGAATGAGCGAATACCATTTAAGTCTTCTTAAAATGCACAGGAGTATATTTTAAATTTGTATACATTTGTTTGAAATTAAAAAACATTTTTCTATAGTAACTATTATATAGTTCCTGAATGCAGGCCACAGCGTAGACAAAATTTTGACATTGGGACAGGAAAGGGAAGGGAGGAGAGAAGGAAGGAAGAAAGAGAGACGGAAGGAGGTAGGAATTGAGGGAAGGAGGAAAGGAAGAGGGGGACATTTGAAACAAGCTAAGTATGATTAGTCCTTCTATGCCAAAGTCTCCAAATTCAATGATTTATTAAAGTCTATTTTACTATAGGATAAAAAATATATTGAAAGTGGAGAAAGAAAGAAAGAAAAGAAAAGCACATCAAAACCACTATCCCACGACAACCATTGTTAACATTTTGAGATACTTTTAATCTGGCATTTTCAGTTTGGGTATTTTCAATATGAGTTTGTACTCATTCCTCGTTAATGAGACTCAACACTCATGTTGATAGCAAGTATTGAATAAATATCTAGAGAAAGAGATAGGATATTTTGGGAACCCTGAATTGCTTTTGATGTCTTTTCATATCTACAAAGCAAGTATTATTTAAGACTGCATACATACAGCTGTTTACATAAAGAAATAGCCAACTTGTTATCTCTTAGTACTCTAACTTTACAAAAATTTTAATATAAAGTATTTATAAACATGGAATATATGTGAATATATAGTTTAAATACTACTAATAAAATGAATGTCCATATACCCAGCACTCACCTTGAGAAAAAGAACATGACCATTCACTTAGAGGACTTCTGTTTGTCCCTTCTTGTCACAATACTCTGCTCTATTCCCCAGAGATAAGCACTAGGCTGAATTTTGTATTAATCAGTATCTTAATTTTATTTAGAATGTTCCTTCCTGTTATGGTAAATTTACATGTCAACTTAGCCAAGCTAGGGTGCCCAGTTTTTAGGTCAAATCAGTCTAGACGTTGCTGTGAGGTATTTTTGGTTGTGATTAACATTTAAATCAGTAGTCTCTGAGAAAAACAGATTATCTTTCTTTGTGTGGTGGGCCTTGTTCAATCAGTTGAAGGCCAAAAGAGAAAAGACTGAGATTCCCCCAGGAAGGAAAGAATTCTGCCTCCAGACTGCCTTCAGACTAAAGACTGAATCATTAACTCCTCTCTGGGTCTCCAGCCTGCCAGCCTTCCTTGCATATTTTGGATTTGCCGGTCCTTAAATTTACGCTAGCCAATTACTTAATATAAATCAGTCTTGATCTTTCTCTGCCTCTCCATCTTCTCTCTCTCTCTCTCTCTCTCTCCTCCCTTCCTCCACCCCCCACCACACATATATGCACATCCTATTGGTTCTGTTTCTCTGGATAACTCTGACTATACACCTCTAAAATATGTGTCAGTGTAACCTATATTAGATTTTTTTGTCACATAATATACAATTTACCTACTTAAAGTATGCAATTCGATAGCTTTTATTATATTTACAGTCGTGCAGCATCACCATATTCAATTTTAGAACATTTTCATCACCTCCAAAAGAAATCCCATATTTGTTAGTAGTCAATCCTCATTCCCTCCCAACTCTAGCCGTAGAAAACCACTAATCTATTCTGTCTCTATAGATTTGCCTATAGTAGATACTGCATATAATGGTATTACCCAATATGTGATCCTTTGTGACCGCTTTTGATCCCTTAGCATAATGTTTTCAAGGTTCACCTATGTAATGTAGCATGTATCCACACTTTATTCCTTTTCATTGTTGAAGAATATTCTATTGTATGGACATACCACACTTATTTATGCATTTATCAAATGATAGACATTTGGGTTGTTTGCAGTTTTGAGCTGTTATGAACATTGCTGCTGTGAACATCCATGTGCAAGCTGTATTTAATTTTAATGTTAATTTAATCATATTTTATATATTCTGTGACTATTATTTTGGACCATGCATTAGGTTTTTTTGAGATTCATCTAAGTTGTTCATTGAAGCTGTAGTTCATTATTTTCATGTAGTAATACTTGGAATGACTATACAACAATGGATTTATCTATCCTATCGTTAATAGATATTTGGCTTGTCTTAGTTTATTTTATATTTTTTATTTTTAATTACAACCAACACTTCCATAAATATTCTTGTATGTGTTTCTTGGTACACAGGTGATTTTTTTTTTTTTTTTACCATAACCCTCAGTTAGAAATACATTTGGTATTTCTAACTATGTAACAAACAAAATTTTCATGAGGCAATACTTGTAACAGTTATTGTAACCATATGCAATGCACATTGATATTTTCTATTCTATTTTAAAAATTCATTTTTAAAAAACGAGCACAAAAGCATTCAATTTATTTTACAAGCACTGATGGATTCTCCCCCTCCATTTGAGAAATATTGCTCTGGACTATGAACCTGGGAATAGAATCGCTGGATAATAGAATTTGTGCATCTTTTCTCTTCTTTACTTTTCAGCCAACTCTTGGGCTTTTGTTGCCAATTTCATGGGTATATTATAGTATCTGCTTGTCTCAATTTACATTTCCTCACTCTATCAATGTAGCTGAGCACCAATCATGTTTGCTGACCGTTTATGTCTTTTTTTTTTCCCTTATTTATTTCCATTTATTTCCCTAGTGTTTTGTCTTATTTCCTAATTGATTTTTAGGAGTTCTGCATATATTCTGGATGTGAATCTTTTCTTTTAATTATGTCTTACAGATGCCTTCTCCAAGTCTATGCCCTCCATCCCTGCTATCTTTGTGTCAGAAATGCTTAATTGAAGTATAGTCAAATTTATCAAACTCTTTTCATACAATCAGTGCTTTTTGTGTTTTGTTTAGGAAATTCTTCTCTTTCTTGGGGTCATAATATATTCTTTTATATTTTCTCCTAAAATCTTACATGTTTGCATTTTATTTTTAGCCTTTAATTTATCTGGAATTGATTTTGTTTACGGTGCAATTAGGAATCTAATTTCTTTTTATATAAATATACATATGTGTGTGTATGTGTGTGTATATATGCAAAATTCATTGCGTCAACTGCAATGTCATTTCTGCCCAAATTCATATGACTAAGTTTGGTTCCATTGGTTTATTCATCCATCTCTGTACTAATGCCACATACTCTTAATTATTGATCTTTATAATAAGTTTCCTTGGTTTGTTCATTGGAAGAATCTTGGTTATTTTCGGCTCTTTATACCCACATTTCAGAATCAGCTTATCAGGCATTAAGAAAATCCCTAATTGGGATTGTGATTAGAATTGCTAGAATTTATAGATCAGTTTGGGAGGAAATTGCCATCTTTACAATACTGAATCTTTCTCTTGGGAAGCATAGTATGTCTGTCTATTTATTTAAGGTCTTCTCTAATGATTTTCGATAACATTTATAATGTTCTTCATCTTTTCTTGCTCATCTTTTCTAGGTACCTTATTTTTGTTTTTATTGTTGTTGTTCCCAATGTAAACATTATTTTAAAAAATGAAATATACTATATCCTGATTTTGTAAATGGAGAATTTAGATTGCATTCTTAAATTTATGAAAAATTGGAGAGAACATATTGTAGATTACTCTAAATTCTTTTCTGTATGAAAGAAGTTCCTCATATATGCTCATTCATATAAATAAGAAAATACAGCATTCTAAATATTTTACTAAAAGTATAAAAATCTCACCTATTCTCCATGAGACACAGAGAACAGGAAATTGTATGCTTTCCGTACAAAAAAAGGAACGAGATATATATGAACATTCTTACAATGAATGAATTAAAGCTGGTTCAGATTGCTAGCCTATAAATTTTCACCTTGAAATCACTATTTTATACACTACCGTGTAAATTGTTTTTCTTTTTAACCCACTAAAATTTCACATCATGATTCAAAGTTTGTTTTTCCTTTTGAAACTCTAACTGAATTAATATGTTTTGGCCTAGACATTACAGACTTTTTATGGGAACAAAATGGTCTGGCTCACCTATCAGGATGAGAAATCAGTAGAGCAAGTGCTGGATTACATTGAATTTGATTACATCCAGTATACTCAAGGGGACTTTTATTTGTTGTTACTTACCTAGCTTTTTTCCCCTAACCACTTTGGTTCTCTAATATAGTGAACTACTTAAGTATTTATAAAAGTAAAAAGAGAAATCCTTCAGTCTATCAGAAGCTGAAACTCTAACCCATTCTCTGTGGATTTCACTCTAGATTGCCACAATAGCCATTTTGATTCTAATCTTTTAAGCACTAGGTTGTTTCAGTGTTCCCAAATCCTTTTTTTCCCTTAGCCATACCCAATCACCAAGACCTATTTATAAATTTTCACTTAATATGAAAGCCAAGAGATATTCCATTTTCATTCTTTAACTTTTTAAAATAGACAATGACATTAAAAGTCTGAAGCATCTACTAGTCATGCTTAAATGTATCATGCTTTTTATAAGCAATAGAAGGTCATCTATTTGCCAAAGAGTACCATTAGCCTGTTGCTTATTCAGCTTACAGTTCTTTCTGTATCCTTCTGGGATTCCTTAACCCCTCTCCCCTTTTTTTTTTTTTCCTTAGACTGAAACTGAAAATCTTCCTAATCTCTTAAGCATTCAAAGTGTTCTGGCTTCACTTTTCTAGTTCCCCAGGTAAGAAAAATGGGGAGGTTTTCCATATGCACTCCTGCTGCTGCTGAGCCTGCCTCCTGGACTGAGCTGGGTCTCAGGCTACACACCAAGGAAAGGGGGACTTCCTTGTGTAGTTCCTCATTTGCCCTCTTCCAAGCAAGCTGCCCCTCCTACCAGAGTCGGCCTGCTTCTGTTTGCATTCAGTATACTCACTAGTTGCTTTTTGTATGATGTCTAAGTTTTATAGACGTTTTCTACTAGGGGGTAGCTCAGTAGGGTCTTTGTCATATTTGGAAGCAAAAGTTCTATCTCTGCCTGGGACTTTGAATCTTGAGAGAGTCATTTCTTGCCTTGCCTAATGCAACAGCCTCCTAGCCAGTCTCAATTTCTACCCTTGTCCCTTAAGGTCTATTCTCAACACATTAGCCAGAGGCATACTATTAAAACGTAACAGGAATTTTCAGTGTCTCCCTATTTCAGCCATAGTAAATCCATAAATGCTTACCATATCGTACTCTGCCTGTCTGAAACTCATTCTTGGCTTCCCGGTCACGTGTTTATGCTGGTTTACATCCTAATTTTCTGACCACTCAACTACTCGAGTTTACTCTGCTCCTCTAAACCTGAAAGGTGGTTCCACTCCAAAAATACAGTTCTTGGCAGGCTGGTTTTTCTTCTTTTCACTTTCTCCTGCAAAGCTCTCATCCACTTCCACATCTTAAGCTTACACGACAGGACAATGAATGAAACTTTTCCTGTTCCCAGGAATTGGAGACCTAGACCCAAATGCTGAAGGCAAAGAGGCCTTAGCTTTTCTCTACTTTATTGACAGAGCTGCAAACAGCGCTGATGTAAGGAAGAGTTAAGGGCTATTGGGCTCCGGGTAGTCATGAACCTTCTTCACTCTGGTGTCTGCCCCAATTTCCATAAACGCACAGCGAAACAGAGTGCGTTCATGCGGGTTCTAGCTCCTTTGTCAGGGGGAGCTGATCTGACTTTGCTGCCAGTATCCGAGCCCTCCCGCGCGGAGCGCAGGCGGCAGCGTGGCGGAACCCAGGTGCACGCGCCGCTGCTTCTGGCCGGGCGCCGGGCGCGGTGCACCACGGGCGTGCACCGCCGGCCGGCATGGAGGAGGGCGGCGGTTCCGAGCCCACCCCGGGCTGCAGCGGTCTGGGGCCGGACGGCGCTCGCGGCGGCGGCCGCCGCGCCCCATCATGGGCCCCCAAGGACGCCTGGATGGGCACCCACCCAAAGGTTAGGAGTCGGGCAGGGGCGTGGCGCCGGTCCGGGCCTCTACCGCGGGAGGAACCCCCGGGCCGCACTCCCCCCATTACCCTCCGCTCCTGCCCGGCCGGGTTTGTGCGCGACCCTCCCAGAAGGGGACCTGCATGCACAGGGCCAGCCGCAGGCAGCACTGTTTTTGTTTAATTGAGTTGCACTATTGCTCTGACACTCTCCCTTTTACCCCCACCTCGCCACTCTTAACCCGACGGGAAGACAAACCCCTCTCACACCGGAGGCCAACAGGAGCCACCTCGCTAACGTCTGAGTTTTGCCATCTAGGGCTGGTTCTGGGGATGGTCTCACTTAATCCTCACGGTAACCACGCAAGTTTGTGGGCTGTGGATAAGATCTAGGAGTCTATAATGATAAAGCTTAGGCTCTTAGCCTTGGGCTGAGAGTGTGCCTCTTGATTTTGCAGAAGTGCAGATTCCTAATTTTTCGGATTTTCTGGGAAGTTTGAATAGGTTCTTCCCTAAAGCTGAACTAGTCACCTTGTGGGTGTTATTTTTCTGTATAAGGGAGAGAAAGATATTCCCTTGCTTGCTTTCGCTTATAGCAGTAATGTCATGAGGAATGAATGGAGGTGAGGGTTTTGTAGGAATCTGAGGACCTAGTCTAGTAACTTTATAGAATTGCAGCCTTCAGCTGGAGAGCAATATTTCACAGCTAATCATCTAAAAACAGCCAAGAAAAGGAATATTTTGAAGCCGTAACTCTGAAAAGTTAACCCCTTTTCATTTTATCTTGCTTAACTTTATCCTACTGCTTGTCTCCTATTCCTCCTCAAGGTGAGAAAAACAAACAATAACATGGAGATGTTAGTGCCATGAAAAGAAAACGATAACTTGGAGAGGCAGAATAGTGGTTAGGAGCATGAACTCAGACACATCGTCTGAGTTCGAATCCTGGTTCTGTCACCAGCTTTGGATTTTGGCAAGTTCTTTAATCTTATTGTTGCCTCAGCTTTCTCACATGTAAAATGGGGACAATAAGAGGATTTACCTCATAGGGTTATTATAAGATTAAATCAGTTAATATTTATAAAGCACTTGACATATAATAAGCACTATATAAGTAATAAGTGAAACACCAGTAACAAGTTTTAAAAACCTCATCTAGATTCGGTGGTGCTATCAGTTTTCATATTTGCAGAGTTTTTGTCTTTGAAGTTAATGGCTATATATGCCTTAACCATCAAATCTTCCCTTTTGATTTTTCCTCTTGAAGGATCTAGTTGATAGAAAGCGAAGAAAGAGAGAGAGAGACAGACAGACAGACAGACAGAGAGAGAGAAGATACATTGGGTGTTTGATTTTTCCAGTTCTGCATTTCTATAATTCAGTATGAAAACTACTTAGGTCCATCTCATAAAATGGAATCAGATTTATTGTCCTCAAATACCATTTTCATTATATTATTCTCATGCTTAGAAATCCTCACTGTTTCCTTATGGGTAAAATTCAGAGTTTTAGCTTAACCCTCAAGACCTTGCAACCTGGTCCCCAATTACATTTTCATTGCTATTTTCAAGCACATTTGAGGTTTGAAGCGGAGAGCTAAAAACACTAGTTTTCCTGTACCAGTACACTTATGATGAAGGTAGCAGGAGAATGTGACTTCAGATATGCAGCCACGCAGATCTGCTTAGCCCTGCTTACTCGCCTAGTCATTGACAGCCGGACAACCTCAGGCTTCCCCTGCAGGAGTAGACCCCTGAAGAATGTTCCCCCGATGCTGACCAGCAAGTCTGAAAGCCACAGCAGCTTGCTTGGTCCTTTCTTTAAAACCCAGCAATTAAATAACTCCCTACTCTTGAGTGGGAAGGTGTGGGGAAAGAGGCCAGGAGTGTATTCTAACAGACTTTTCCCCACATGCAAATAAGAGACCAGGGAAGTAGAGGCACCCACTGGCATACCCCCCCAAAAATCTCAAAAGATGTCTTATTCCTGGTAGATAGGTTTCTTTGTGGGCCCTTGAATATGGGTGACTTATTCTCACCTTTGTGTGATTACTTACACAGTTACTCTGCCTTCTCAATTTACTCAAGTCATACATGCCTCTCAGGGCCCAACTTGAATCCCACCTCTGCCACAAAACATTCACCAACCGAGCTCCACTGACCTTGTTGTGTCATGTTTTGTTTTTTTTTTATTCTACTCAACTCGGTTTTTAATCATTTACTGGCATATAGTAATTGCCTAACAATTCCAAGTGCGCAATGCGTTTACCCTAATAATTGAAAGTTTTTTAGAGGTGGGGATCAGGTCTTATATTGCCTTGTAATTCCCATTATACATAGAAACAAATTTTATACATTATTTATATTTAATTAATAGTTATTGATTGAGTGAAAGAAAATATTAAGAGATTCTTCCTTCTCTGTTTAACAATTACATTTTGATTTTCAGTACTTAGAAATGATGGAATTAGATGTAGGAGATGCCACCCAAGTTTATATAGCATTCTTGGTTTACCTGGACCTCATGGAGAGTAAGTTATTTGTTTATATTGTTTTATTATTGGGGCCGTGATGGAGGCTTGGGGAGTTGGGTTGGGATATAGCATTGTCGACATTATAATAAGCCATCATTTATGCATTCAATGTTAATTTTGCCAATTTTGTAATTTCTTCATTTACATTGGGAATTACTGCATAACAGAAAATACTTAAAAAGCAAAGCAAAGATGGCATTATGAGTGATGTTTGCTCAGCTGAGTATTAGGTAGAAGTTTAAAATTTTTATCTTTGATTTTTGATAAACATTACTGTACATTCATTGACTTTCAGGTAAAAGTTGGCATGAAGTTAACTGCGTGGGATTACCGGAGCTCCAGCTCATCTGCCTCGTTGGTACTGAAATAGAAGGAGAAGGGTTACAGACTGTGGTCCCTACACCCGTCACTGCTTCCCTCAGCCATAACAGGTGGGCAGGTGATTTTGGTCTTTGTTTAACAGGTTAGTTCATCCCATTGTACACGTTAAACTTACAATTTATAAAGAAGAAAGCACAGTGGAATGTGGGTGGATGAGAATGATGATACATGACAGGGAATATTAATTTTATATTAAAAAATAACATGAAATTTTGGTACTTCGTTGTTAGAAATAAGTTATTTTCCACATACCACACAACCAATCTGAGGATACCATTTGTAAATCACTATCCTAGACTATGCTGTTTAGCTGTTTGATTATATATATATAATTATATATATAATATATATAATACATATAATTTTTTTAATGTTTTTTATCTCTTAAAAACTTTAAATAATGTTTTTATGACTAGGGAATCTGGATAGTATACAAAGCCTGACAGCCAGAGGAGTTGGCATTTTGCTGGAGGTTCAATTTCATGTTATTTACAAAAGGCATATAGCATATAAGCATATAGCATGATATCTGTCTGCTATATTGAAGTCCCAAGTTTGTAAAACTGAACCAAACTCTGTCATTCACATAGCTAACTATAACTTAGTTGTAAAATATTTCCCCAGTGATGACAATAAATAATCTCACTGTATCCTTTAAAAGCACTTCTGTAGCTATCTTGATTATCGGGTGGCAGAATGGCATATATATTTGCTTCTCTCTAAAAGGTAACAGTTCCAGGTAACATTTAATTTTCTATCGGTGTGAATTTCTAAGACTGCACAGTTTTTGTATCCATTCCCCATTTATGTCTGCAGGCTTCGGACCTGATGATTTTATTTACATAGTTTCTCTTACAGATTGAACGCTAATAGAATGGCAGTGAGTGAATGCACCACTCTGAGCTCAAGTGCAGTTTGTGACTGGTGTTTTCTGTAAAGCAGTTATGCATCACATATATTTATAGTTAAAACACTTGGGCATATTTTTCAAGTCTCAAGAGGTCTCTCAGGTAAAAGTGGGCATGAAGTAAACGGTGGGATGACCAGAGCTCCAGCTCGTCTGCCTCGTTGGTACTGAGATAGAAGGAGAAAGGTTACAGACTGTGGTCCCTACACCCGTCAGTGCTTCTCCTGTGAAAATATTGATTGAATACTAATTGATGATCTCCGATGGGAAAATAGAATTGGCAAAGTACCTATATATCTAGCGGGACAATTATGCTAATGGAATATGAGGCTCTTTGTGTTTCTCAAAGGGAAGGACACATTTCATTTTTCTCTCATTTAAAAATACTACCTAATGTTAATGTAAAATAATTTTTAGTTTACATTTAAAATACTGTATTAAGTTTTTGGATTGTATATGCATATGGAAAGTACTCTAGATTGTTTATTACTTAAGTGAATCTAAGAATCTTTGTAGCATGTTTGGTAAATGACTATAGGGGCTGTGAGTACAGTTCCCCAACCCAGCAATGGTATAAAATCATATTAATAAATTTATAGAGGTCAAAGAGATCTGATGAATTTAAAGAGGAAAGCTAGGGCCCATTTTTAGTGCTAAGGTAGCAAATGAAGTCAGCTTTATGTTCAGATAACCCAATTAGCTTCTTTTTTGGACCACCTAGCCATTGATATTTGTTGAATGTCCCTAAATGGGCGAAGTATTTTACAATAAGGTTAGGATAATAGTATTACAAGTTTCTGTAATAGTGTTAGTATCACAGGTTGTTCTAAATGGGACAATAAGTAACTTACATAAGGACCCTAGCAAATTATGAGGGAAAAAAATGCTTTTCTGTTTTTCAATTACCAATTTTCCTTTTCCAATAGAACCTATGTTGCCTCTCAGTTTCAATGTCGATTTAGTTTCTTCTGTAAAACATGAGAGGTGTGCTGAAAACTAAAACGACTGTTGCCATATTTTAAGCTTGTCTGTGTGTATAAGTTTTTTAAAAAGCTGAGTGAAGTGTTTTGTAAATTATAAAATCCAGTGATGGCTGGGATACTGTTTTCTGAAATGATCTGTAAATCTTTTTTGCTTAGTAGTACCAGTGAATCATTCATCCTTTTAAACCTGGCTGAATTATAAACGGCTGTCTCCTATTAGTGCCAGGGAAGGAGAGTGGGTAGCTTATGTGAGGACAGAGCTTTTCCAATGACCATTTTATTCCCCCATTCCCACATATTAGTGGCATTTCTTTTAATTTCTGGTGATCGATAACCTCTGAAATGGGTACCTTCAGCTATTTTATCTTAGAGGAAAATTTTCTAAATGTTCTCTTTCTTAGCATCTTCCAATCTGAATATTACTAAAAAATTTTTAAACGGCTTGGGTGTTCCATATACCATATAGGTCATCTGCTAGTTCAGCAGCCATAAGGCTAAAAGTCTAAGAATTTAGGTCAGTTGATTTGATCAAGACTTTTGGCTCTACTACTGCAACTTGCTAAGTGGTCCTTTATAACACCACAGTTATTGCTACTCAATATATTATATATTTGGTTTTCTTTTGATTGTTTAATGTCTCCCTGCCCCTACTAGAAAATATGAGAACAGAACTTTGTTCTGTTCATTGCTGTTTCCCCAGTGCCTAGCCTGGTATGTGGTACTTTGTATTAAATATGCATTTGTTGGATGACTGAATGAACTCTCCAAGACTCCTCAGTTCTTGCTAAATGGAGACTTGCTAAATAAAATCTTAATATAAGGATATGCTCAATCAACTGTCTAAGAGTTTCTAAAAAATTGGAATGTCTGCAAAGTCCATCTGCTTTCAAGATTTATCACTATTTCCCACACTTTACACTGTAACTATAATATGCATCTCAGGATAGGGAACAATCACAAGTCTCGAGAGGCACTCTGCCGATGCGCTGAATAGCCTCCTTACCTTTTAGTGAATTTTTTTTCAGCCATGTCCAACCCCCCTACCTTTAATCCTTTCTTTTTCCTTAGTGTCTTGGGAAAAGGTCTTATGTTAATGGTGGAGTAAAGCGTTACTAGAACTGAGTTCCTTCTTTAGAAAATTAAAATTTTTTTTGATTGAGGTATAATTGACATATAATTGACATAGCATTATATTAGTTTCAGATGTACAACATAAGGATTCAATATTTGCATATGTTGCAAAATGATCACCACAATAAATCTAGTTAATCACCTTACATAATTACCAAAAAAAAAAAACTTTTTGTGATAAGTACTTTTAAGATCTTCTGTCTTAGCAAGTTTTGATTATGTAATAACAGTATTAATAACTATATTTGAAAAATTTTTAAAGATGTTCTTAATTATGAGATTTAATCCTAAAATGCTACAAGTTTTTCAAAGGATACCCTATTAATTATTTCCCTATAGTCAAAAAATATTTCCACTCTTTTAAAGTTTATTTATGAAAATTCATTTAATGACCATTATTTTATTTGAGACCTTAGTTTAATAACTGGTAAAATGATTTCTGTCATTTGACTTCCCGCATATCAAATGTGTGTCCTTATATTACCTCTGTTAGAAATCTGTTGCTAGTGAAATCCCCAATTCTGGCAGCTTCTTTCAACTGACACAGCATTTTTTCTTACTACGCCCCAAAAAGCTTGCATTTTATATTAGCAGAATGGCTTCCCACTGGGATGAATAGCCACACAGGCTCTTAATTGTTCAATGAACTCCCTTGGGGTTTTAGCCACCTTGCTTTTTTTGCTAGGAGTCATTGGCGTGGTTCCCAAGGAGGCACTCTGTTATCCTCGAAACTTTTCTTCAGGATCGAGCCTCTGGAAGAATAAGGCTTCTCGGGCACCTTGGGCACCAGTTTAAACTTGCATTGTGTTTCAGAGCTGGATTATGGGGTGTTGCTCCAAAATATCATAATGAGGTAGATCAAGGAGTTAATGTCTTTAATCAATAAGGCTACAGCATGTGCCAGTTTGCTCCCATTGAAGAGGACAGGACGAGAGACTGTCTTCTGCAGGTTGAAATTAATTATGATCTTAACTCATGATATATTCCGTTTCAGCAACATTTGAAGTTAAAAGCAATGTTGTCTTCAACTTTCTTGTCTTCTGTGTAAATTTCCACAGGTTATGTATTCTCTAATGTAGGACTGTTAAAGAAAAATGAATGCTAAGATTTGTGGAGGAATTTAGACAGCCTGGAGGAAGGGCAGCGGCCAAACAGTATTACCTGTCTTTGCCTCAGGCTTGTTTTCAAGTTGGCTGTTTGCAGCTTCAGAAGCGCTCTGCTTTCAGTATGCTGAGCTCCTCTCTGAACAGTTATGAGAAAAAAAACCTGTCGTAAACATCCAATTCTTTTACTGTTGATCAACAGCTATGATGATTACTGACTTATCTCTTTCTTCAGGTGGGGTTTTTCCCTTGAGATATAAAGAACTCAAAAATCAAATTCTTCTTATTAATACATAGGTTATGTTTTTCATAGGTGGATGTCTATCAAATATCAAATAAAAAGACTCCTATTATGTAAATTATTTTAGATTTGTGTGATAACACATCTTTACCATTTTTCCATAGAACTGAGCTTTTAAATATATGTATATATATATAGAAGAGAAACTTTGTTCTATGGTTTCTAAATTAAGACTTCAAACTGTAAGCTTGTTAGAAGTGAGATTATAGTATCATTGTTCTCAGCATCTTTGCAGTTGTGTGTATTTTTAAAATAGAACTTCAGAACCTTTTGTTGTTGTTGTTAGATTGAGTAAGTACAATCTGTTGACTTAAAGGCAAAGTAAACATTTTTAGGAGTTTATCAGTATCCTATAAAGAAAACAAACAAGAAAAGTCTCGAATGGGGAAAGATGATGGCCTTACTTTAAACATATGTTAAAAATAGGCGAGAAGAGATCCTGAACAAGAATCTTTTTAAGACGTCCCAGTGTGCTTTGAGTAACACGGGCAGATAAACTATTTTATTTTAGTCTGCTATTACCAGACGATTCACTGGTAGTTTTCCCCACTACGCAGCAAGTAGGATAAACAGCTCAGAGATGGGAACTTCCACTTCGTTTTTGACAGTGATTTCCCTCAGCTCT